GGGGGGGGGGGAAAGCATTGTATAGCTATGAAAATGCCCAGTCTGTTTTCATATCCTGGAGTGTTAAAATAAAAGGTCCCACACACATCTGGGACAAAAAAAGAGAAGCATTAGTATAAATGATTGATTGACTGATTGATGGATGGATGGATGGATGGATGGATGGATGAATGAATGAATGAATGAATGAATGAATGAATGAATGAATGAATGAATGATCTAATCCCTAGAGCTACCCCAGTAGCAAACACAAAAGTAACATGAGAAGAAAATCTGCCATAGAAAGTGAACCTTCCTGTTTTATCAAATAAAGGGGTGAAACCAGGGGTGAAATGCTACTGGTTTGGACTGGTTTGTCCGAACCGGTAGTAAAAATGCTACTAGTTCATCTGAACCGGTAGTAAAAAAAAATGAAACCGGTTCGGGTGAACCGGCTTTTTCGATGATCAGCTGTGACGCACAATCGATATTAGTTAGAAAGCAGGATTTCCTGCTTTCTAGCTAATCTAAATCACATGGCAGAGCGGATTGCTCCCCTCGCTGTTCCGCTCTTGTAATTTGCTCCGGTGTCAAGATAAATAATGTTTTTGTCTACCTTTCCTACCAATACATTGTGAAAATACCATAAATAGTCAAGGGGGGGGGGGAATTCCAGGTCAAAGAATAAATCAATCCAGAATTTTTACTCACGGCTATTGTATGTTCAGACTATTGTACGTTTAACAGGTCATGGAAAAAAAGCAGCTCCCACAATGCTGGCAAGAATTGAAAGAGAACAACTTTCAATTGTTGGTTTTATTGTATGCTCCCAGTGACTTTGTGTAGATAGGTGGCTATATTCATTTAGGAAAGGAGGGGAGGGAAGAGAAGAATAGGGAGGGCAGGAGGTGCGGTGGAGAGGATCAAGGCAATCAAGGCAGACTTGATTTCAACACTAATGAACGATTCACTGAGATCTAAAAAAAACAACTTGACAACAGAGACAGACTATCTGAGTGACTAATTGTCAACATAATCCATGGCATTTAATTGATTAATGTATAAAAGAGGGTCAGAAATGCCCTTATGAGAAAGCTGAAGAACTTGGATGGGGGGGGGGGGAGAGACACACATAAAGCAGAAAATAGAGATGTGATTTTTAAAGCTGGCAAATGTTCCCACCACAGGGTAAAATAAAGGAATACCTTTTTCTTCCAGATCAGGCTTAGAATCTATGTGAAAATACTGTATATTACCAAAAAGAAGAAGGAGAAGGAGAANGGCTGGCCTGGGGTTAAGATTCTAACCCCACTCGAATTGTGTGACTGTTGTGTTTTTTTTTTTAATATGTTGTATTGTTTTTATGTTCGAAATTGTTTGTCCTTCCCCCCCCTTTTTTTTTGAACTGTGAGCCGCCCTGAGTCCCCCCAGGGAAAAGGGGCAGCATACAAATAAAGGGAAATGAAAAAATGAAATTACTCTGGACAGACCTTTTTAAAAGGCCCTTTAAAGTCAAGCCAGCATGGCTACAGGGCTGGAGCCACTAAAACTGAGTGTGGTTATGCTCTAGGGCATGGCTGTTCACTCCTTTGTGTGTTGACGTTACCAGCATCAAGGTTAGGTGGCTTCTACTTAGTTTGCTCATTATCTATTGACGGTCTTGTTTATCAATATACTTAATGTTTTGGCATTATCACTTTTTTCATGTTTGTCATCTACTGAGAACGTGTTTAAAACTTAGTTGCAGGATACTCTTTCACCACTAGAGATCGCCCTATCCTTCTGCCAATTGTCAGGCAGACGTCAAGAGTCTTTTTCCCCCAAATTATTACAGTTCTACTTGATTGCGTACAAGCTGGTCTTGATGCAGAAGTATCCACAGGATCCAATGCTTTTGTTCAAATGCTGAAAGCCGAGGAATGCTGTCACAATGCAAGCTCTGTGTTTTGTATGTGCAATGCTATCACTCTTGTACAAATAGTTGACCACCTTCTTGCTTTCAGAGTCTCTCTAGAGACAAGCTTATGATTTTTGAGCCTGGTTATGCATCTTGGTGGAAACGTCATCTATATCTTTACTAGATGCAAAGCAAGTGACTCAGAGCAGTTTCCATATCCCTTGCAGTAATCAGGTTAGAGAAACAACCATAAAAACAATAACATCCAGAATAACAATGACGCCAAGACAAACCAGAAGAATTGCAGTGCTGGGAAATCCCATACTCAATAAACATTCCCATAAGACAGTGGTTCCCAAACTTGGCAACTTTAAGACTTGTGGACTTCAACTCCCAGAATTCTCCAGCCAGCAGAGCTGGCTGGAGAATTCTGG